GTGTTTCTTGTAAGTGGATGGTCTTTGATGTTGATTTTCTCTTGTTTTTTGGGCTGGCTTCTCTTTTTTCAAAAAATATCAAAAAAGGAAATTTTCTGAAAAAATGGGGATCAGTGGAAAGAGTTTTTTTTTTATAAAAGAAAAGTTTATTTATCATTTTTTAAATTTTTAATTATAAAATTTATATTTTTCATAAAATAACTTAAAAACTATTTTTAAAAAATATTTATATATTATTTTTTGTTTGTAAAAATTTTTTAATCAAAATCTTAATTTTTAATAATTAAAAAGATTAAATAAATAAATATCTTTACTATTAATAACAAAAAAGTAAGTTTTTAAAAAACTTTTTTATCAATTTTCTAATTATATATAAAAAGATATTTGCAAAAAATTTTTTTACTTCTTTACTAATAAAGTTTTAATACTTTTCTTAAAATAACTTGAAAAGTATTTATAAGAATTATTTTTATTTTTATTTTTTTACTTACTTTTAATTCTTTTTATCCAAAAATTAAACTTTAGGTTACTAGAAACAAGTCAAATAATATCTTTAATATCTATAATAAAAAAGTTTTCAAGAAAAAAAAATTAATAGTAAAGTATTTAAAGATCTTTTTTATATTTAAAATAAAAGATCAAAAATTTTATTGTAATAAAAAGGCTTATTTTTTTTTTAATTATTTTAATCCTTTTAAAGTTTACATTTTGATAATTTTCTAGAAAATATTATCTATTTTAATTTTATTATAAATTTTGAATAGTACAAATTTTTGCAACGATAATTAACTAATAAGAAATATATTAATTTATAAAAAAGTAAACAAGTTTCTATTGATTATATTTATATATTTTGAGAATATTAATGATAATATAAAATAAAGTTTTTAGAAAATTTTTATTTTTAATTAAGTAAATTCTTAGTAAAATAATTATAATATTAAAAGTATTATAAAAGATAATACAAATAGTTTGATTTTTTTTTAAGTTTTTCAAGTTATAAAAAGATTTTTTTAAAGAAAAAAACCAAGGTTTTTTATTTTGGGATATTTCAATTTGATATTTGTTTAAATAATGAATTTGCCTGTGATATTACAAGTAATAATAAAGAAAAAATTTTTAGATGTTTAAATTAATATATAAAAAATATTCTAATTAGATAAATTTATTTGAAAAGAAATTATTAAATAAACAAAATAATCTTATAACGATATATTGAATTAATTTTTTTTTTCTTTCTTTAATTATTTTAATAATTTATTGTTTTTCAGAATAATTAATAATAACAAACTATTGGTAATAATTTTGATAGTTGTGATATTCTGATATTAAACTATTGAAAAAATATAATATTGTTTTATATAATTAATTTAGAGTATTTAATCAAAAACTTAATTTTGTTTAATTTAAATTAGCTTATTGAACTTTTTATATATTTTTAAGTAATATAATTTTTAATTAATAATATACAAAAACAAGTTAATTACTTTGTAAAAGTTTATTAAATATTTAAATATTATTTCAATATTTTAATAAAACATAATATTGTAATATAATTATGAATTAATAAAAAAAAAACAAAAAAGTTTCTAAAAAAAAAAACTAATTATAAAGTAATTGAAAAATTTTTTTGGGTTATTCTAAAAGTTTTTATAATAAAAAAACTTGTTTTATTTATATTTTTTAAAGTTTTTATTTTTATGATTTTTTGAAAAATTTTGTTTATTTTTAATTTGATCTTAAATTTTTTGATAACATAATTTATATTAAAAATAGATAGTCAATACAAATTATATTATAATCCTATATTGTGATAATATTATTAATAATAGGTTATAAAGATATTTATCTTTAAATAAACAAAATAATTATAATATTAAAAGATAAATAAAAAATATATATTGTATATAATAAAATATTTTTTTTATAAAATTTTTCAAGTAGTGAAATATTTTTTCAAAAAGAAAACTAAAATTTTCAAGTTTGTTTTTTAATTAACTAAAATTATAATATCCTTAATATTATTATTTTAATCAAATTATAAATTCAAGTTTTATAGATAAAAAACATAAAGTATAACTTTTTATTTTAAAAACTCAAGATAATAAGTTTCACAAATAATATATATTTTCATTAATTAATATAAGTTTTTTCAATAGTTTAAAACTAGAAAATATTTCAATTAAGTAAACTTTTTTTGAGAAAAGATTATTTATTTAAATAAGAATTTTTTAAAAGATTTTGAATTGTTTTTTTCTTTTTTTTTTCCAATTACTTTAATACATATTGTTTTTCAAGATAATTAATAGTAACAAATTATTAAAAATGATTTAGAGTTTAAGTATAAAACTGCCAGAGGAATACTATTGTTTTCTAAATCTAATTTAAAGTATCAAGTTGAGAATTTGTTTTGTTTAATCTGAACTAGCTTAGTGGACTCTATATATTTTTTAAGTTAGTATAGTTCTTCAACTAATAATGTATTAAGATGAGTAACTCTGTAGGTGTTTATTTAATATCTCAGTTAAAAAATAAAATAAATTAAAAAAAAATTTTTTTTTGAAAATTAATTGCATAAAATCAATAATTATATTGTAAAATTAAAATTAATTGAAAAATATTACAAGAAATTAATAAAATAAAAAGCAGAAATTTTTATTTTATAATAAATCACACATAGCATTGCTTAAAAAAACATTTGCTATGAATACTTTTTTTTTCACAGGCCAATCAATCGAGTGTCTTAATTACTGTAAATAAATAACAGTTTAAGGCAAGGCTATCGGCCAATTCATATTTTTGAAAAAAAAAAATTTTCTGCCGATGACATAGCTAGAAAATAACAATACAAAATTCCATGGGTCATTGTATTCTTCGTGAACGCCATGTAAATATATAAGCACCGTAGAATCTGCTCGTTCGCTCTTTAGCCACATTTTTATTTTCATTGAGAGTGTACACATGTACGTACGTAAGTGCGTATATACAGGTTTCTTTTTTATCACGCAAGCTTACAAATTTGGCATTCATTGTTATCCTACGTCCACGTTGTATTTTGCCTTGCATGTGATGACGAGTCAATTCATTTGCACGTAACGCGTTCCATATTTTCGCATAAAATCTTTACGTGGGTGGAATGTGTGGGCATCAGTAAATGTTATGTATCATGTCTTTTTTATTGGTTGGAATTGTCACAAATGAAACACCATAGTACACTGTCGGAGATTCATTACTAAAATAATTGGTAAAGAACAGTGCAGTCCAAATGCCCGAATGCATATTTCTATTGAACAAATGCATTTTCGCGAATTTGGTAACTCGGTATCCTATAAGATAATCGCGTAAAGGTGCAGAGTGCACTTATGTAATAGAAACGTGTCCAATTAGACGATACACATATACTGTAGGTACTGTACGTGTCAGTTTACACACGATGAACATTATCAAGAATCGCACATGTTAAAATCATTGCACAAATATTATTCTCGTGCTACATCACATGTATTTACACAAGAAATATACAAAACGACGAAATAAGCATCAGCCTCTGACGCAAACCATTTTGCCAACTTTAAATAAAGAAGTTGCGCAGAGATTGTATATGCGCACATTGTGTCGATGATTTACTTTACCCTATTTGACATTGTTTTTTTTATTTTATTGTTACCTTACCTTATTGTGTTGTTGCATTTATATTGTTTTATTAGCGATGGTTTAAGAACTTTAAATAAATAGAGCTACACAAAGCTCAGAATAGTAGGACAACATTTTTAAATTTTTAAAAATTGGGCGTTCGGCTCATCGGACCTATTGTGTTCGTACCCTCATTACATTTTTTGATATATATATATATATTTGATACTTTAGGGAACTTTTCTCTTGCACATTTATATTGTACATAAAGATGGAACGACAGTCCACTTTTGTTAGTCAAACCGCTTTGCTAAATATTGACTTGCTACATTTAATTTTTGAACATTTCGAATACCAGGATGATATGTTCAATGGATTGCTTGTACATTCCTATTGGGCTTTGGTATGTATTTGATTCACATTTCGAAGTCAAGCCAATTTATTTGATTACAACTGATCTCCTTTCTGCACACTTGATTGGTCGCACAAAACTGAAGGTGCTCGTAGACAAATTATGGAAGAAACCGTCATGGAAATCATCCAGTGTATTTCACAAATTCATGCGAACCCTCCGTTCCCCGAACACTACATTTCCTTACGCTCATATGGTGCAACATGTAATCTTCGCAATATCAAGTTCTTTTCATCACGAACTATCGATCCCTTCTTGTGATGTAAAATTTATTTCGGGAAGATGTAGTAACCTGAAGTATGTGAAGTTCACACGTGCCTTTTCAACGGAGACAATTTCTTCGTTCCTTGAAAATTGTCCAAGGTTGATTTCCTTTTCGATCTCCGGTCACAAACCATCATCTCTTATTTGTGCATTATCACCCATACGTGAGGGAAGATGTTCTAAATTATTACACCTCGAATTACGTGATTGGAAACATGAGTGGAAACATGACTTCTTAAGAGGAATTGGGAAAAATTGTCCAATGCTCACAACATTGACTACTTCAAGTTTTGTTACAAACACACTGGCTAGTACCATCGTTGCCTCATTTCCAAATCTTCAAAGTTTTACTTGCAGCACAATCACGAGCGCTGGATTCACAATATTGGTTTCCGGATTGTCGAAACTAAAATCTTTATCGCTCGTTTTTCCATACATAAGTTTTGAGACGGCCGTATCGATCTCCCAATACTTTCCTCCCTTAGAATCCTTCAGTTTAAGAATAAGTTCGTACCAAGGATTTGATCATTTTGCGAAATTGTGGGTTCAGGGTCAACACTATTTACGTCATCTGGAACTGGATTCTGCACGTGGTTTGTCAGATGACTCATTTCTTCCAATAGCAAAGTACTGTCATCAGTTGGAGTCGGTGGAGTTGAAATATTGTACAAACCTCACGGACGTTTCAGTCTCGGCCTTGGCAAGATGTCGTAACTCGAGCCTAAAGAAATTTACCATATTAAACTGCGATCAACTCACTGACCTTGGAATCTCGGAATTATCGGAACACTGTCCGAACCTGACCCGAGTCACAATCGTCGGATGTCTAAATATTACTCATGTCTCACTTTCCAAAATCACCGAGAGGTGTCAGGGTTTAGTAGAATTTGCCTTCACCAATCGTCCGAGGATGACTCCTGCTGTGGTGATGGCATTGGTAAAGCATGAAAGGCGTATGCTAGAAATATTGGATATTAGGTCTGATAATCTTGCCACGGCTGACACTACTGTGAAACAACCTTATCCAAAATTCGACCTGGCCTTGGTGGAAAAACTGGCTTCAACTTGCCCTTCTATCAAAAGCCTGGGGTTAAGGTTCAATATGGTGGGATTGGACTCGGATGTGAGTGCTATGCTTCTTAACAATACTTGTCCTCTTTTTATAGTTGGTTTGAGTTAACAATTCTTTTCTTCCATACAGGAGTTAATCAGTTCAATACATAAATTTCAAAACCTGGAAATAATATGTATAGGCAATAGCAACAACAAATTATTCGAACGCGAACACATAAAACAACTAGAAACCCATCGCAGATTAAAAGAGGTTAGGTTTGTTGGCAGTGGTGGTGGTGGGATGGGATGGGATGAAGTGTTAAGTCAAGACGCGAAGATTTACTTGGCTCATAGGAAGAGCAAAGAGAAATGTCAGGGACCTTTCATTATGTATTAGGAACGGGATTAAATTGTGATGTTATTTCAATTTTGGGTATATGAAAATGATGTAATGTAGTTGAGAACGGCAAATGCTCACGGTGGTATAAAAACTTACTCATAATTGATAATTATCTATTTCTTATTATCCCGCATTTAGCAAATTTAAAAAATTTAAGTTTATATACAGTATATATAGTACCGTATGTCGCGGTGTATAGTACACCCCCCTTGTAGAATGCTTGCCGGTTCATGCATAGATGTCTTAATGGTGCATATCAATCTGCCAATCAATAAATATAAGAATCAAATTATTTTTTTTGTATATATATATATATACTGTATATATTGAAACAACTATGATATGAGAAGTAGGCGAAATGCAGGGAAAAGAGGATCATTTGTAAGATATAAAGTGTAAGGCGAGTGGAGTGGATTGCGGAACTTTGAAATTTGCGAATGTGAGGTAACAAAATGGTGGGTTTACTGTAGAATGTAAAATAACTAGATTATGTAGACTCGCGGAACATAGAAGTAGGTTTGCAGAATGTAAGGTGTATATATAGTGAATAGGTTTGCAAAACAGGACAAGTGGAATTTACGAAACATAGAGCGGGTAGATTATAGAACGTAGAGATTCGCGAAATGTGAGGTAACAAAGCAAATAGGTTTTAGAATGTAAAATACGTAGTGTGGACTCATGAA